CACTACCCCACAGTAAGTGCAGCTCCAGCCCTGCCCACTCTGCCCAGACACACAGATGCCCTCAGACCCCCTCATGCTGCCCCTCTCTTGCAGGGATGGCCCAGCAGCAGAGCCCATGAAGACGCACCGGGAGTGAGGAGCGCTAGAACTGCAAGCCAGGCACTGCCTACACCATTAAAGTGCTGTGCCCCACCCACTGCCCCTTGCTTTGGCACCGCTGCCGACACCGGAGAGGAGGCCAGGAGAGGAGGACAATGGAGTTTATAGAGGCCGGGGCACCGTGCCCATGGTGGACACAGGCCTCACTTGGCCGTGTAGTACTGGGTGGGCACGAAGGGCATCTTGGTGATGAGGGCTGGGTGCTGCCTCTTCCGCACCTCCACGGTGAGCTGGGTGCCGGCCTGGCTGTGCGCAGCCTCGACGTAGCCCATGGCGATGTTCTTGCCCAGGGAGGGGGAGGGGCAGCCGCTGGTCACTGTGCCTGGGATGTGAGGACATGGGGAAGTGAGTGGGCGCTGGCAGCTCTGGCCTCCTCCCATGCCATGGCTACAGCTTGGGGCTGTGCCTGTGCCAGCCCTGCTGCCCCCACCTACCCACAGGCTTGCCCTCAGGGCCCAGGATGGCCATGTGGGGACGGATGGGGGGTCCCACCGATGTGAGCCCCACACGCTTGCGCCTCGGCTTCTCTTTCACTTGTGCCATGATGACGGCAGCACCGGGGAAGTCCATGGCTGTGCGTCGGCGCTTCCCTGCGGGGCAGAGATGGGCAGGGTCAGTGATGCCTGCCTTGTCCCCTTATGCACCACTGGGGATGTGGTGACATACTGTCCCTCTGCCTGCCCCCAGGAGGAGGTGAGGGTGGATGTGGCCCTGACCTACCCAATGTCCACATCAGCCCAGCCTCGGCAGGGGTGGTGGTCTCATCAATGTCGTTGCCGTAGAGGCAGAGCCCAGCCTCCAGGCGCAGGCTGTCCCTGGCTGCCAGCCCTGCCAGCCACACGTCAGGGACACCCAGGAGCCGTTCAGCCAGCTCCACTGCCCACCCCACGGGCACCGAGATCTGCAGGGGAACACGGGCAGGGTCAATGGGGCACGGCCTTCCCCTTCCTTAGCACTGTGGTGGGGATGCTGGCGCAGCTTCCAGGGTACCTCCACACCATCCTCGCCCCCGGTGTAGCCACAGCGTGTGACACGGCAGCCCGGGATGCCAAAGACAGTTGTGGTGATGCTATTCATGAAGGAGAGCTTGGCCAGGTCATCTGACAGCCCTGCCTGCAGCACCCGTGCCATGGAGGGACCTGGAGAGGCAGGTGACTGGGAGACAGCAGGGAAGGGGGGGATGCAGGGAGGGTGCTGACATCCGTCAGGTAAGGAGGACCCACAGGAGGGCAGGCTCATGTGGGGTTCCCGCTACCTTGCAGAGCCAGCAGCGCGTTGTCTGACACCTCCAGGTGGACATCACTGCCGTTGGCTTGCATCTCT